ATAATTAACACACTACGTTGAGCGGCTACTAAACACGTTGTTGAATGGATGTTTTGTTTGTTGTTTAAGATATTTGTGTTTAATTCTAAAGCAGCTTTAACTGCATGTCCAATGGATGGATGACCGCATGAATTTTACATGTGCACCGAGTGGCCTCTAAAATATGGGGGATAAGTATTTCTTAAAAGAACAAAGATGAATAGCATCAGCACACACTGGCTGTAGAAGATGCTCTTTCATCTCTTGCTTTACCTCCTTTTTTTGTCCTCCTGGATGAATATTTGGCTCGAGACAAAAGGTGAACCAATCAATTATTCCTCTTGCAGGGCCCTGGTGCTGTTGTGAAAAGCGTTGACATTTGAGCTTTCCAGACGACATCTGCAAATTTATATGCCTTCCATTGTGTGAGGCAGCCAGCCCTGTATCAAAGGCTGTAAAAGGCCTTGTCAATTTAGTAAGGACAACTCCACAAAGACTCCTTTCTCTTCTGTTGTTATGGGAATAATGCTTTTCACTGGTGTTCTGCCAAAACCTGGTGGCAATTTGGCCATGTGATGTTATCGATTGCATTGATAAACAGACATCTAACACTGAAACCATCAAACTGTTGGTAATGTGTTGTGGAACATCACAACTGTATGTGTGGTGATCAGATTCAACAACACCTTCTTTAAAGAGGCTTTGCAATGAATGGTGGTGTTTCTCCAATATACAGTAGCTGTCTGAAACCACTGGTAAACACTGTCAAAATAAAATATCCACTTTCTGTGCAGTTTTAAAGCAGGTAAAACTATCTCCTTCAAACTAGCCTTCAAATGGAGCCGTGAATGAACATTCAACCTGTTGGTCACAGGTAGGTTCAACTGCATAGCTCAGTTTTTACCAGTTTGATGTTTCTGCTACAGCTTTTGTCATTTTCCCATATATCCATACTGAATTTTACAGCTGGTGTGAGTATTTAACAATGTTACAGTGTACTTAGGCCAGCCTATATATTAGTTGGTAGCAGGTAATTTGTTTTCTTGGTTCTTGTTGTCAGATCCATCATGGCCTTATTGTACCTTGATGAAAACTTACCATTTTATATTTACATTTAATTATCTGAGAGGTTATCTCTAATCCTGTACCTAAATGTCACTGCACATCTGCAAAGTTACAACCAAAATCCACAAGTTATCCATTTAATCCATTTAATTATTGCAGCTGCAGTGTCCCCCACAAGATTTAAGAGACTATGGTGGACGGGCCTCTGACCCTCTTGGGGAAGAAAATGTTGTACATTTTAAAGTTAAATGCATTAATTTCGTGCAAAAATAAGAGACTATCTATGAAGAACTTGGCACTCTTGTAAAAAATGTTGTGCTAAAGTAAACTATTTAATCATACACCCAGCTATAAATGGTGATGAAACAGCAACATGTCAACAAATTTATTTCATGTTTTTCCAGCAACCCTAAATCAAAGAATATAAAATTAATTTAAAAAAAGTAATTTCCCTAACATTTTATTGTTGTTGTTTTGTTTTTTTTACTATTAATGGACACATGTAATATGTCTAATACTCTGTGAATATAATCCAATTAATCTTATTTACATACATTATAGACACCTTATTTTGAAAACCGGATGTTGTCACATATGTATCCTCCTCGCGCCAAATTCATTTAGTCTGACCCAATTTGATAAATTATGTTGTATGTGGTTCTCATATCGCGTAACATGAAGACTTCATCGCCTCTCTTCAGGTAGGACTCTTATACTGCAACACTTGTGGGTGTATGAAACTGACGGGATAAAGTCACCAGTCAGCTCATACAGGTCCGTTTCAGTGGCTTTACCATAAAGGCTTGAATACGTGTGCACTCCAACTTTAGGTGCGACTAGTTTAATCGCCTTCTCACAAACGAGTGACAGTAACAGACTGTTAACGTTACCGTAATTACCGCAAAAGAAAGTAGTTGTCTCGAGTCAGATGCTAATGTGTGTGAGCATGCGAGCTTACAGCAGCGCGGAGAAGCACCCACAAAACACAACGTTAGAGGTCTGTAATGTTATTATGAGATGTGTAAAAATATCTTCGCTTCATTGTGAAACTATGGCGGAGCAAATTAGACTGTGGTGGGCCGCCATGGTCTCGTTAATTAATGGGAAACACTGAGCTGGTCGAGTTGAAGCTTATGTTAACCGTTTCATATACTGTGGGGTAATTAAATCTATAACAATTCATGACAGAGTTGTCCAAAAAAAAATTTTGTTTCAGTTACAAAACCCAACAGTATGTCAGTGTTAAACTTTATTAAATTATGGTAAAACAGCTGATGGATCTATAGATTAATGAGCCTCAGATTGTACGTAAGCATATACATAAAGTAATTATTTAGACAATATCTCATCAGAAACACAACCTGAGTATGATGAGACATTTAAGCTGTAGTTAAAATCCCGGATTCTTCTAACACTGCCACACGTAGTTTTAAGATAGTAATTTCACTTCTCAAACGAGACAGACACACCTTACACAATAATATTAATAATTTACCATAATTTACCAGAAGAACCAGGCCAAAAACCCAGCTCCAGTTTTAACTTCAGTTTTAACCCAGCACAGGCTGTTTAAGATCGATCTTCCAATAAAACTTTTATTTTAAATGATTTCATCTCTTTTTATGATTTTATGTTTTTAACAGAATTCTGGTTACGTTCTGGTGATCACAGTCAGCTTGCTGAATTGTGCCCCCAAATTACTGACTGTTTTAGCCGCCCTAGGGACAGTGGTGTGTCCAGAGCTTTTTGACTAGGGTGGCCCAGATGGGGCACTGACTGGTGCAGGGGTAGCATGACGTACCTTTGCACACACACGTCGGGGAATTGCACTCATTTACCATTTAATTAGACCATATACCTGAAAAAACATAACCGGTGACAGCGCACCTTCACACATATACTACCAGTCAAAAGTTTGGACACACTTTCCCATTCAATGGTTTGTCTTTATTGTTATTTTCTACATTGTACATTAATATTGAAGACAGAAACATATAGAATTATGTTGTAAACAAGAAAGTGTTAAACAAACAATCATGTTTTATATTTTAGATTCTTCAAAGTGCCCAGCTTTTGCTTTTATGACAGCTTTGCACACTCTTGGCATGCTCTCAATCAGCTTCATGAGGTAGTCACCTGGGATGGTTTTCCAATTGTCTTATAGAAGTTCCCAGAGGTGATGAGCACTTGAAAAGCTGCTTTGTCTTCAATCTGCAGTCCAACTCATCCTAAACCATCTCAGTTGGGTTTAGGTCAGGTGATCTGATGCAGCACTCCATATCTCTCCTTCTTGGTGAAATAGCCCTAACATAGCCTGGTGGTGTGTTTGGGCTCACTGTCGCGTTGAAAAACAAATGATGGTCCCACTAGGCACAAACCAGATGGGATGGCATATTGCTGCAGAATGCTGTGGTTAAGCCTTTAATTTTGAACAACTCACCAACAGTGTCACCAGCAAACCACCCCCACACCATCACACCTCCTCCTCCGTGCTTCACACATGTGGAAACCATCTGCTTACCTTTTCTGCGTCTCAAAAAGGGCGGAACCAATAATATCAAATTTGGACTTATCAGACCAAAGTACAGGTTTCCACTGGTCTAATATCCATTCCTTGTGTTTCTTGGCCCAAACAATTCTCTTCTTGCTGTTCTTCTTCAGTAGTGACTTCTTTGCAGAAGGCCTGATTCACTCAGTCTCCTCTGTACAGTAGATGTTGAGTTATGTCTGCTACTTGAACTATGTGAAACATTTATGTGGGTTCTAATTTGAGGTGCTGTTAATTTGCGGTTTCTGAGGCTGGTAACTCTAATGAACATTCCTTCTGCAGCAGAGGTAACTTTTGGTCTTCCTTTCCTGAGGGCGTGTTTCATTTTAGTGTTTGATGGTTTCTGCAACTGCACTTGAGGATACATTCAAAGTTCTTAAAATTTTCCCGACTGACTGACTTGACTTCATGTCTTAAAGTAATGATGGACTGTTGTTTCTCTTTACTTAGTTGAGTGGTTCCTGCCATAACATGGATTATAGCAGTACTCAAATAGGGATATTCACTGTATAGAACTGTGTATCAATCTATGCATAACACAACTGATGGTCTCAATCACATGAAGAAGGCAAGGCTTCCACAAATTAAGTCTAGACAAGGCACACCTGGTGTGACAGAGGGGCAAGGATTTGAACCCGGATCTGCAGGGTACCAAATATGCAACTTGACCGCAACGCCAAAGAGCCAGGCTTGTTGGTATGGCAATCCCTCGTACAGTTCACACACAGGGTACGCCTCCGACAATCTCCCGGCAAGCCATCCCACCACTGGCAGGGGAGGGAGGGACAAGAGCAGATTTGAATCTGTGTCTACAGGGTACCAAACATGCAACTTGGTCACACTGCCAAAGAGCCAGGCTCTTTGGTATGGCAGTCACAGCGCATTCTCTACTGTACTGACAGTGATCCGTCACACCTGGTAATTGAAAACCATTCCAGGTGACTACTTGGCAAAGGTGGTCAAGCAAAAGGTGGCTACTTTGAAGAATCTAAAATATAAAGAGAGAGCTGGATATAAAACATATACTTGTTTGTCTAACAATTTTTTTGTTTACTACATAATTCCATGTGTTCTTTCATAGTTTTGATGTCTTCAGGATTAATCTACAATGTAGGGAAGAACAGAAATAAAACCTTTGAATGGAAAGGTGTTCAAACTTTTGACTGGTAGGCCTACTGAATGAAAAAACGTAACTGGTAACAGCGCACCTTCACACATATGAAAACATGATCCTATTATTGACAGCGCACATTGACACCCGTATTTGAATGATCATGGTCAGTGATGGTGCACCACGTGACACTATTGACAAACTGATTAATTTTTCATGTTGCATTATAAACACAAAACACAAGTGTGTCAATTGATTATTAGTCAAATAAATATTAAAAAAATAGGTTGTACTTACATTATAGGCGCACCCCCCGAACTTTTCGCTGTACAAAGTCGTTTATTAAACCCTTTAACCCCGCTGGCAGGCACAGGCATTATCGACTGGTAGTGTGGCAGGTCCAGGTAAAGTGTTGTGTCTTGTTGAGCTCCTCAGGTAAGATTTGATAAGTTTTAATGGTGCAGACTTCCCCCAAGCTTGCAGCGATGCAGTTATTGTCCACAACATCTGGACATGTTGTCTGTTAAACAACCGGAATGATAGGAGTTGCGTGGGGAGTATTATTTTACATTTTTTTAAATATGCCATTACTCGTTTGCTTCCCCAAAAAGTTAATCGTCTGTTGCAGTGCGCAGTGTTTCAGGCTGTAGAGATTTGAATGTGTCTGCCCTCCTCATCACTGCGGTAAATGGCGCGCAGCTGGTGCTAGCAGCAGCTGCAGGTGTCCCCTTCGCCTCTTCTTGCTCACAACTTATTCTTGCTGCTGCGCCGTCTTTCTTTTTAAAGAAACTGAATAATTTTGGAGGCCCTGCTTTTTCTTAATCGGCTGCTTTCTTCAATTTTTTTGTTTCTGAAACCCGCTTTTGTGTTTGTACCATATCGCGTTAATTTCTCAGTTGGTGTCACTTACGCCAACTCTTCTGTGTGGCATTTCCTACGCAGTAATGCGCATGTCCAGGACAATGAAAACCCAGAATTCTGCGCGGGCACACCTTGGACGTTGACGTTACACTTTAACGTAAAGTCGCCCATGAATTCATCCGAACTTAATTTAGATATAACATACTGTAGAGCTATGTGTCAGTAAAGTGTTTGTATGTAAAGTGTTTCATGTTATTGTTATTGAATGTGAATGACATCAAGTGTGAGAACATACATGTCAACATAAATTAACATTGACAAACTGGGTACGCATGTGACTACATGATACATTAGTTTTGCGTGAAGTTGGCCTGTTGACTTCAGGTGTAGTTTGAAGGAAGAGGGGCCACAAGAGGTGGCAGTTGATACATCATTATAATCTTAAATATGTGGGATGATCATCATTAGGCTTGCACTGGTTCGTAAGGAGCCAGCTTGTAAAACAAAGTGCATTTTAAAAAGGCTACCCCACATCCAAATATATAAGACAGGAAATTGATTACACATAGAAACTCAGTTTTTAGGACTGGAGCTGAATCTAAACCACAGTTGACCCCAACCCTACAACCAGCTTAATAAAATGTATCAGACAGGTAGTCACGTGTTAAATAATGAGAAACTCTATCTCCCAAATGCATCCATGTGTTGAATAGGGCTGGGCAATAACACAACAATATAATTTTCCTCAATAACAATATAACAAATGTTCAGTAAATGTTTGATTTAATTGATTTAACTTTAATTGAATAACAAATGACTTAGCACTTACTTTTTCTATTAAGATGTTTATTTTGTTGAGGAAAAGGAACTGAAAAAAGATTGTTTTGAATGTTTGTGAAGTGATCTGCTGTTTGGTGTTTGTTCTGACTATAAAGAACAGTTTGAAAGCACAATTAACCATCTGGTTTCTTCAACTTTCATTCAGGAGCAAGAATCAGCCTTTGAACCTAAAATAAATGATTATTTGACATTTATCTTGATAATTATCGATATTTATTTATGATATTAAATGTTTTATCGTGATTAATTTTTGGCCCTATCACCCAGCCCTAAAGTTGCCTTGATCTGACTTTAACTTTCTCAAAAAAGAAAAGGCAAGTTTTTAACATTGAGCCTTATTTACTCCTTATTTTAACAGCTGTTTAACTAATGACCGGAGGGGGCAGCATACGCCCATGCCTTGTCTACTCTGCCGGAAATAAAGAAGACGAAGAAGAGAATTGCCCACACTCGACGCAGTTTCTGGCTGATCTACTGTTGACAACACCGGGGGAACTATTTCAGCCGGGTAACTTTATACCATTAGTTTACATATTATATACTTGGGTGTTTCGCTGATAGTGATAATGTAATTAAATGTCGTTGTCTGTCTGTCTGTCTTTTCTCAGTTGTCATGGAGCAATGCTTTAGGTAGGAAGATCACAGGAAAGCGCTTAACTAAGCTACTAACGTTAGTTACAGTTCACCATATGTTATGCTTCGGCGCCAGTTAGCTTGCTGTGGTGCCTTACTACATGGCTAAAATGAAAAGAGTATTTTACACCAGGCCTAAAAGAGAGCCTATAAGTAAGATAACGCTATTTTAGCTCGTTGACAGTGTTGTAATATGTGGTCAGGCTAGCTCTGATGGAGGGGACGCGACGCCGAACTCCAATCAAAAATTGATCAATTTAAATGTTTCCCTTGCCTGTCAGCTGCAGGACTCATCTCATAACATATGACTCAGCTGCTTTTCTTAATCGTTGTGAGCCACGTTAGTATGTCTAGAGTTTGGCATTAATTTACACACAACTTGTAGCGTTTATTACTATCTATCTATTACTCACAAAACTATAAATAGTATGCCCATCACAAGCATTATGCTGTACTGTACACTGTAATTTGGTCTGCCATGCAGTTAAATGACCCTGTCTCTATCTCTCAAGTGTGAAGTGAATTTGGCATGTATCCTGAAGTGAAGGTCGTATTTGGTTAAGGAAAGTAATGAGTCATAGCTGCTGAAAGGTATATTTGCCTATTTGCAAGAATATATTGTAATTTGGCCTATTTCAAGGCCAGATATATGAAGCGTAAAGCCTTGCTATGATAGATGATAATGTGCTGCTTTGACTGCATGCCACACCTCATTTCCATGAGCCAGTTTTGACTTAAACCACCATTTCTCTCAAGCTAAAGAAATGTAGTTTCTTCAACTCCTGGTTCTCATGTATGGATTAATTTTTTTGAGTGCATCATTTTTGTGCATGTTTATATCTGTCCAATCTGTCTTCTACTGGTTTAGTCTGTAAAAATGTTTTTTTTTAAGGTGGTTGTCTGTCAGGAGACCTCACAAAACAGGAGAAAAATCTATTTTGCCTTTACAAAACTGAATTTATCAAAGCTGTTTTATAGAATCTAAACTTTTTTTCTCCCTTCATTCACAACTACCTCTCATCTTGTCCCTTTTGAAGTGTCAGCAGGGATGATTCTGCTCCTCGCACCCCACCTCCTCCAACATCGCCTCCTCACGTCCTCCCCTCTCCTCGTCATCCCCCTCCTATTCCTCCATCCTCTCCCCTGTCAGCCCTGACTCCTTCTCCCCGACAAGAACAGCGGAGTTTGGCAGGAGCCATGGTGGACGTCAGTAAGTGGCCCCTGTTTTCTCTGCTGAGCACTGAGGAACTAGCCACAGTTCGCCAGGCCTGTGTCTTTGGAATCTCTGCTAATGAAGCCATCTACATCACACATGGCAATGAGGTGAGGAGAGTGTGTGAGACACCACTATATCCAGCCTCTTTCGAAAATCAAAGGAGTTTTTAAAGTATTATTATTTCTTTTAATGCTATTGTTTCAACTTGAAATTAAGGATTTCTTTTACTTTTCCTTTTTTTTTTTCAAATTGCTGTTATGGTGTATGCTCTTCAAGTATGTGTTGTCTTAAATCTGCATGTTCATTAGGTTTGTGTCTATCAAGTTCAAATGGGCATCAAGTTTACATAACGAGGAATCTGGCTGTACATCAAGCGTGAAACCCCCAAATTTAAGTGTGAATGTTTGATACTTTGCAATAAGAGTTATCATCAACCACCTTAGCCTAGAAACTGAGCAAACCGTCACCTGAGTTTAAAAGTTAAATAAAGCAATTAACTGTGTTGTGTCCTGGTGATAAAATATTGCTTGAGATAAAGAGCTCACATAGCAAGATTTCTTCCAGGAAGTTTTTAGCAGATGTGTTAATGCCCTCACATCCTTTTAGTTGATGGCAGCCTGAACAACAGCCACCCTTATTAAATATTTGGCATTTGCATTATTCAATAGCACTTCTACTCTTTTCCGTGACGTTTGTATAGTGCATTTTTTTTCTTATGGTAGCAGAGGTACGGTAGTCCACTTCTGCTATAAAACACTGCAAGAGACATTGCTTACATTGTCATCAGTAGGCCGCTATTATACCATGTATGTCAAAATGTTACACTAGTCTGCTGTTATACCTACATATTTGTATTTAGTGAGCATCACGATGTGTTCTCACAATGTGTGTGTTATTATTTCCTAGATATTTGTGTTTGGGTTGAACAGCAGTGGTTGCCTTGGTACAGGAGACACTCTGAGCACCATTGTGCCAAAGAAACTGGACTTCCTGCGGGGGAAGAAAGTCGTCAGCCTTAACTACGGCAGCGGACCCCACGTCTTATTGGCTACTGAGGGTAGGCTCTTACTTATGCTAGCTACGTGCTCTTATGTTTCAAACAGTCGCATTTCCAACAACCAATATGTCTAAATTGTTAATACACTACAGTGAAAGCTAAGTGCACATTTGAGTTTACTGAGATTATTTTGTTCAGTTTCTATAGACCTTTTGATCCTTTCTCATGTGAAAACGTTGCCTTCTGTCTGGCAAGTCTGGATGATCTTGACCCGTTATGCAATCTGTGGTGTTGATTTATTGCAGATGGAAGTCTGTTTGCTTGGGGCCACAATGGCTACAGTCAGCTGGGGAACGGGACGACCAACCAAGGACTGTCGCCGGTGCTGGTCACCGCTAACCTACAGAACAAGAAAGTGACAGAAGTGGCATGTGGCTCGCATCACTCCATGGCCCTCACTCAGGATGGAGAGGTATCTGTGATTTTACTAACTCTACTGTTTCATCATCATTTACTGATTAAAAAAAAACTACTACTACTTGTATTGATTTAAAATGATTAATTTCCAGCTTTGTATGGAAATGATAATTGAATAATTAAGTTAATTGGCAATTCATTTAATTGTTCCTTTAAGGGTTGAGAAAACCAGAAGAATCTGACGTTATGTTTACCATGAAGCTGGAACATCATATTTACATATACTAGAGTGTTGGCATTTCATATTTAGTTTTAGGTCTCTTGAAAGTCTTGATGTAGCCTCCTCGCACTCCTGCTGGTGTCAGCGTAAGCTGCTTACTTTTAACCCTGAAGCATTACAACTAATTAGGTTGTGTTTTTGGTAAGCAGGAGAGGCTGTTACCATGTTAAATGTTACTAACTGCACACTAGTACATTTCACAGTTCTGTAAATATTGCATTGTTTGTCTGCATTATATAATTGTGCATATCGCTTGTTGGCAGGTTGAAGTTAGATCTGTCTTAAAGGAGTAGTTTGGTATTTTGAGAAATACATTAATTTGCTTACTTGAGAGTGAGATGATACAATTAGTACCACGCTAATATCTGTCTGTTCATCATGACGCTGGAGCCAGCAGCTGGTTAGCTTAGCTTAGCACAAAGCCTGAGGACGGGGGGGGGGACGGGAAGCCTGGCTCTGTCCAAAGGTAACAAAATCCACTCCACCGATTAGAACCTCTAAAGCTTAACCTATTAACAGTAAATGTAACGGTTTTGGCACTGGACCGGCCAAGAAATGGCCCAGCACATGCGCCAAGTAAAACCACAACATGTCATTTATACAATGGATTATGGATTAAAGAAACTAGATAACATTTTAATTAGTGAGCTTTGAGATACGATGGCATATTTTTCAACAGTGAATGTGGATTTAGAGATTTAAGTGCCTGATTGTAAGATGTTTGAGATTAAGATTCAAGATTGCTTTTATTTATATAGGAAATGGTCTCAGGATTACTCTCAAGGAGCTCTTTCTTGCAACCTAAGAAATATTGTTATAATGATAACAGCCTTAAATTGGAAAGCCATGTAAAACAAAATTGATGATAACAATTGTAAAACTGAGAAAGTGGCCTGTCGCTACAACTTTACCATTAAAATTAGACGAAGTCGCACTGCTTGACCTGACCTGCCTCCCTGCCCCTCTAGGTCTTTGCATGGGGTTATAACAACTGTGGCCAGATTGGCTCAGGCTCCACAGCCAACCAGCCCTACCCCCGGAAAGTCACCGGCGGCTTGCAGGGCAAGACTGCGGTTGGCATCACATGTGGACAGACCTCCTCCATGGCTCTGGCCGACAACGGAGAGGTGAACTGAAATCTCAATGATGCCAGTAACAAATCTGAACTTCACACAGTATAAATAATTGTCTTGTGTTTATCTAGGTTTATGGCTGGGGCTACAATGGTAATGGCCAGCTGGGTATTGGTAACAATGGAAACCAGCTGACACCTTGCCGCCTCATTGCACTCCAGGGGCTGTGTATTCAACAGGTAAGACAACAACCTAATGTAAAGCTGGCTGCTGATATTGTTTATGCCACGGTTGATCAAAATGATGGCCATCACATACTCGTCTCAATGCATGACTCACTCATGACTCAAATGTTCCCTGTTTTCCAGATTGTATCAGGCTACAGCCACTGCCTGGCACTAACAGATGAGGGGCTGCTGTACGCCTGGGGAGCAAACACCTACGGTCAACTGGGAACTGGCAACAAGAGCAACCACCTCAGCCCTGTGCAAATCATGGCTGACAAAGAGAGGTAGGGGGAGAAGGGAGGGCTGATTTCAGAGAAGAAGTTCTTTGTATTTGGAGCATAGGAAAGCAGATTTCTTCTCTTCCTGTTAAGACTTAAACTTCCTGTTTCCTGTCTTCATTTCCTCCCTCTGTACTTCAGCTTCCACTCCTGGTCTGAAGTTGTTGTCAGCTCTGTCTTCACAGAGTGTTTCCCCTTCATAAACAATGACTATAGACCAAATCCTGCCACAGCAGAAACACTGTTCGCCCCAGTGTGCTGTCCTTCCCTGTCACAGCTGTCAAGTTTTCCTCTTGTTGTGGCTGTATCACAATATTTACACTTCCCCATGTGATTCTATACATACTGGGAAATGAAAACATGCCCATGTGTTAACACACATCTCATTCAACAGGATTGTAGAGGTTGCAGCATGCCATTCAACACATACTTCAGCAGCCAAGACCCAAAGCGGGCAGGTATATATATGCATGTTTTGTTTTTATGTGAGTGGATTTGTGTAAATCCTGCCTTCAGAGTTTGTACAAGGGTTTAATTGATAAATCAGTTGGCTTTTTTTGACCTGGGATGTTCATCAGGTCTGTATAAAACATTCCTGATAAGGTGAAGGCAGCCAATTTTTATATTTTATGCACACACTCAGTAATGTTTGCTCATTATTCTGTGGTGCGTGGTGTTGTCATGCTCTTAATGTCTCAGTTTTGTCCAAATGATCATGTGTTTGGCCCCTTGTCTATAATTCCAGTTTTGGATCATGTTTTGTCCACCAGAGAGCACTGACAACTTTATATTTCAGCTGTAAAATGTCCCATTCAGTACACATCTTGGTCACAACTCTTTAATAACCACATTTATTGCATCATCTTTTAAAAACGTTATGTAAAAAAATGAATATCAGCCTCAAAAAAACACTGTGGTGTATTAATGCACAGGGAGAACCGTGGTAAAACAGAGCTAAATCAGAGCTAAATATGCCTTTTTCACAGACATTTGACATTTGAACTTTCATAGTAGAAATGGCACAGGTGTTACTAATAACATTGGCTCTGTCCTGTTCAAGTGTCTCAACAGTGTGTCAGTAAGCAAGGATGCAAAATACAAGGACCCTGAAACTAAGTCACCGCTCCCCAGTCTGTGCCTCTGAATGTCATGATACGATAAAGACGTTTGTGACTGGGACGCTAGTAACAATGTTTATCCTCCAGGTGTACATGTGGGGTCAGTGCCGGGGTCAGTCCATCGTCATGCCACTTCTCACGCACTTCGCCGCCACCGATGATGTCTTCGCCTGCTTCGCCACACCCTCCGTCGTGTGGAGGCTCATGTCTATGGGTGAGAGAACGAGAAGTGAAACGAGATTCTGTTTCAGATGTGTTTTTTAAAGGGTGATTTATTGTATTCTGCTTTGTTCCAGAGCACGATGACTTCCTCACAGTTGCGGAGGCTCTGAGGAAAGAGTTTGACAGTCCAGAAACAGCTGACCTCAAATTCAGCGTTGATGGCAAATGCATTCATGTTCACAAAGCTGTGCTGAAGATCAGGTACGTGTGTTCATGTGCATATAAGACATAGATACTACAAGGTGCCAGTACAATACCTGAGTCTGGTACCATTATTTTCTCAATACTTGATATTTTGATACAAACCCTTTTTTCTTTTAACAAAAGAAAGTTCGGGCTTCTCAAATGTTAATTGTTGACTAAACACAAGCAGCTGTACAATAATATTGTGTAAATAAAATGGGCAAAATGCAAAAAAGATGTGATCAGAGATTTGATGCCAGCATTTGTACATGACAGTTTTCAATAATCAGTGTTTCAGGCGCATTTCAATCTGTGGTCTTTTGTTTGGAGTAGGTGTGAGCATTTCCGGTCCATGTTTCGCTCCCAATGGTCCGAGGATCAGCAGGACGTCATAGAGATCGGCCAGTTCTCCTACCCCGTCTACAGATCCTTCCTGCAGTTTCTCTACACAGACACTGTTGACCTTCCACCTGAGGACGCCATCGGTTAGCAGAAATACACTTGAAATATACTACGTTCTCTCATTTGTATGGTTTCTAATCGGTTTGGGTGTTCTGTAGAAATGTATTTATACTGCAGCTGTGTGTGTTTTTGTGTGTTGGCTGCAGGCCTGTTGGACCTGGCCACCTCTTACTGTGAAAACCGCTTGAAACGCCTGTGTCAGCAGATCATCAAGAGAGGAATCACTGTGGAAAATGCCTTCACCCTGCTGTCTGCTGCCATACGATATGACGCCGAGGTACGATACACACACAAAACATTCATCCTACTTTTACAGATCCATCCTTCTTTCTTATACATCACAATAAGTCTTAATTTAAAGCAACTGAATGTCTAACAGTGTACCACGTGTGTAGTAAAATTACATGACTTTAAAATTTCCCTCAGATAGTTTTGTTGTCCATTACTGCAGTAAAACACAGAATAAGGTGACACCCAGTGTTCACACAGTGAACTACATCAACAATACACCCCTCTGTTCTAGAAATGCCTCCTACCCTGTACTGTGTTATGTTGCTGCTGTGGCATTGTGTTCTCCAGAGAGATCATGTCAGTTTTCTCTTTTCTATTCTGTTCTCATCTCTTCTGTTATGTTACAGTACATTGTATTTTGAATTGTCTAATCCTCTCTCATATTATTTGTCATCTTCCAGGACCTGGAAGAGTTTTGTTTCAGGTTTTGTGTAAACCATCTGACTCAGGTCACTCAGACTGGAGCCTTCTGGCAGGTGGACGGAGCGATGCTCAAAGAGTTTATCAGCAGAGCTAGCCGCTGTGGAGCCTTCAAGAACTGAGCGGTACTCCTAATGTTTTTTACAACTTGTAAATTATATTGTGACCAAGTGGACGGGGTTGTAGTCCAAGTGTAGCAGCACCAAGTGTGCGCCACTGTTCCAAAAATGTCAGTTCTGATCACATTCCTAAGAACAAACGAAGCATTGATTTACATATTTACTGAAGCACATGTTGTCACATCAGCAGCATCATTCACAAGATGTTGGACTGGAATTTAAGCCGCATTATCCGTGGATCTGAATCAGCACTTTGGCCAATTCCTGTTGAGTCGTTTGACAAATTCAAGGTGGCTTTTTCTGTCACTGCATTGTATTCGTTACATGCTGTATGTATACTTGAATTTTTTGTTTTCTCGCCCAGTGCTTATATGTCCTGACATGTCCTTCTTTACTTCTGGAAAAGTTAATACAGGAAGACCAAAAACATGGAAGCAATAGAAAACTAGTTAAAAGAATGAAGTGAACTGAAAGAGATCTTTTGTTAAAAGCAAGGACACTAGCACCACTGTAGTGAAACACATCTTCGAGTTACATCTACTTACTATTTCTGTCATTTTCAGGCAAAAGTAGCTCCTGGATGTGTTGAACCTTTAAATTCAATGCAACTCTTGAAGCTGTTGAATCACTAAAGACAAGTCCTATTCAGAGGTGTCAAGCATACACAGTTGATCCAGATCCTACTATGGCTGGTTATTTTAATTGTTCACTGTTCTGTACATTTTGTAAGTTAAACCAGTGTAGGATTTATAATATTTTCCTTTTTATGCTCACGTCTTGAGTATGTTCATTCTGCCTGATTTAAGTTTTGTTGTGTGGCACTTTAAGAAACTACTTTGCTTTTTCTTCATATTCAGTAAAGCAGTAATGGTTCAAACGCTGTGGAGGGGAAGACTAGAAAACTGAGTCAAAGAATGTTGCACTAAAAAATGTTACTAGCACATTTGTTTCATTCCTTGCAAGTGTAAAAGTTGTAAAATGTATCTAAGACAAGTGGTATGTTACAGACACTTGATATTTAAAGAATGACCTTATAATCCTTATTTACACTAGGACCTTCAACAAAATGAACCAAGGTGACTGTTTATCTGTTTGCATTTGCTCATGTTGTTTGGGCAAACGCAGAGAAACAAGCAGGCACCCAAACTCTAAGACCAAAATGGTTCCTTCGTAATTCCTTTTGTAATCTATCACTTTTTCTTCAGGTTTCTCTGTAGATACAATGAAAATACACAATACTGAAGACACTACAGGATATTACAAGCACAGTAAAGTAAAGCAAAGTTTTGTTTACATCTGTTTGCTTGGGCTTAGGATGACCAAAAACTGCCTGCATGTCCTAGTTTTTACTTTCTGCTGCATCAGCGTGAGGTGAGTGTTACTGAGTAAGACTTGTGAGATCAGTTTCTGTTTCCTCTGTTGGTTTTCTATTTCTTGTTCTCAGATGCTTGAAATAACTTCTTTTCTTTTTTTTATTTGATTTGAACCCCTGTAGGATCTCTGTTTGTTTTAAAGCAGTTTCATTCAGGTTAGAAAACAAATACATGTGATGCATTGAGTTTAGGTTTCTTTTTTAGTTGATGCTTTAGTGGGATGAGGAACAGGTTTACAGTCTTCTTTTTATATGAAAAGCAAACTGGAAAGAATAAGATTGTTTTGCTTACTGTATTAAGAAAAAAATATATTTTTATGATGCTTTGTTAAGCTTATTTACATAGGGCACATTTATAAAACTGCTTGTAATTCAAATTGTAGTGTAATGGTTTACTTTGAGGTGATCATCATTACAATGTTGTCATTTGTATGACTGTTCTTTTGCTGTGACATTTTATTTTACATTGTTTTTTTATATTTAGTTATGGGATGACATGATTCTGTGAAGAAATAAATAACTCTAAACTCTGCTTTGTTTCTATATAATGTATATTTCACACTAAAGTGGGCCAGTGTTAGTTCATTCTTAATGTGTACATATTCCTTGACATTAGATTAGACTTCATACATTGTTGCCGACCGTTTCTTTCTACATTTGATTAAATGTATTCCTAAAGGAGCTTCTCTTCATAGCTGTGTGCTGCCACCTGCTAACGCAAGTGGGTATTTAACATAAACCAGTTGTTGCACCGCCCCGTTGGTTACGTCGGACGATTTTCTCTTTAAAGGGCTCTGGTTATTGCGGAAATAATACGGAACTACGTCAAGTTAGCCGCGTTAGGAACAAGTAAGGTCCGTTCTCCTTTGAAATAAGATATTAAAATTGCGAGGGCAGGAAATAACAGTATAGAGTAACCAGGCACGTGCACACATAGACATCAAAAGGGGCTCAAGCACCTGCCCTTTTTCTTCCTCAAGAGAAAGTGCCGTGTACCTCTGGGTTGTTTTTTTTTTTTTTTTTTAAATTTTTATATACTGTGTATGTTGTATGTAATATGTATGTATGTGTGTGTATATATATATATATATATATATATATATATATATATATATATATATATATATATATATATATATATATATATATATATATGCACAGCTTTCCTGTCAAATATATATTTACTATATCTAAATATCAGGTCAGGAGATGAGACTGGAGTTCCGAAGCAGCGCACTCACGCAGACAGGCAGCAGCCCCTCCCAGCATGGAAGTGAGTGGTGATACTAAACTACTAGTGCCTCGAGTTTACAGCTAATCGCAAGAGACAATGTAACTGTAGCCTACTTAATGTAGACACAGCAGGTGAATACAGTAAAATTAGTGTCTAATAATGTAATCAAGATCGCCACATTGATATGTAAATTAGGCTTTAACTAATTAAAATGCGCTAATTTGCACACATTTGACAAGTCACTGCAGGTGAATAGGATAAAGAAAATAACTAAAGCATGTCACCACAGAGCTTCCTCAGTAAATTACTTACATCAAGACTCTTTCCCCTTGAAATGTTATGTTTAAATATGCAGATTAGATTCGAATTAGAATTCATTTAGAAGAAATCTACTAATACAAACCGACGAAAGGCAGCCTTAAAACAAGCTCCATCTAAATGTGTATTTTGGAAGTTTTCTTACCATGTATTGTTCCATGAGTAAAAGAAGACAAAAGCAAAATAGACCAAAATCTCATTGACCACTATATGAAAACGTGTCCTGCCTTAAACAGTAACTTTACATGATACAGACAACCCTCCCTCAAATGTGAAACCAAGTAATAACGAAAAGTGTTATGTAAATCCAATAAGACCCAAATAATTAAAAGGATTTATTGCCTTGTCAAAAATAAACAAATTATTAGTGAAACTAACGTTATGTCAAAAAAAAAAAATCATAAGTAATTATGAGAAGTGTCTGTGCACGTCCCTGAGACTAACAGAAACATATTGTATGTAACATTTAGCAAGTGAAAGTCTAGCTGTCAACCGTTTTGTCTCGGAGTGTTTGATCCACCTCTTTTCCCATTTTTGGATTTGTGCTGGTGTAATAACGTCATGCATTCTGTGAAGGTGGACTTTCGATTTCAAGGAAATGGCAATTATAACAAGGTTTCGCAGGGTAGGGTAACACATGGCTGGATTTGTGCTGGTGTAATAACGTCATGCATTCTGTGAAGGTGGACTTTCGATTTCAAGGAAATGGCAATTATAACAAGGTTTCGCAGAGTAGGGTAACACATGGCTCACCTATCAAAATAAAAGCTTTAATCCTTCTGTCGTGTTATTAAACTTCGTATTAATTCATTGCACTGACAGTGTCGACTAAAAACCAAGGCAATCATAATTGTACGCCTAAAGCAAACATTTATTTAGCCTATGAATTTGTTTTGACTTTTATTGTGAAAGCGCTGACCGGAAGCTGTGTGTATATGCGTGCGGCTTCTTTCCTACAGTCTCCGGTGCAGCTCAGAGACTGCTTGTCACTGTTTACCAGGCTAATATTCATTCTTCTTCAAGTGTTGTCCCCTTACCAGGTGCTCTTGTCTTCCTGAAGGCCGGGACCGAGAATTTATTTCGCTCTCTTGCGAAGCGAATGGAAGGAAGCGACATAAGGAACCGAGCCGACCCGGGTCAGTCCCGGCCAGGTCGAGATACGAGAGAGAGCAGCACCCAGACTGACAGCAGAGTGCAAGGTGAGCCACACGAAGAGAGGGGTCATGTTGTAGTGGTGTAGCTACGTAGGTTTCTTTTCTTTCACGTCATAAAACAGCTGGTGTGTGTGTGTTTGTGTGTGTGTGTGGTGTGTGTGTGTGTGTGTGTGTGTGTGTGTGAGTGTGAGAGAGAGACAGAAAGTGTTCACCAGTGCAAGCAAATGTAGCTGTCTTTTCTCAAGCAGCTTTCCAGTACTCATCATGAGTGTCTCAAGAAAAGTATCGCAGAAGGAAATTCACATTATCCTGATTTATTCTAAACTCTCTCCTGTGAGAAGTAACCATCCTTGTCACAGTGTTATGAGCTGTCAGTCATTATCACATGCCAAACAAATATACACAATGACCACTTGTAGGAAAACATTTATTTATTTATCAAGTGACCGCCATGGTAATACCTTAAATTATTAGTGTACTTTTGTCAGCTCTGTGTGTCATAGTCGAGTCCAGCTGAGTGGGTGCAAGGTTTAAATAGAGTAGGGAGGGGAAATTGTTGAAATACATTATAGATTTGATTTGACAACTGGAGAAAAACAATCAAGATTAGATAACCCTTTTGCGTATTTAAAAGCAATGCATTTTCAAGCATTCAACTCCAGTGTCGCCTCCATGCTGCTGGTCAGCAAGTTACATTCAGTTCCTCCACCTGTTCCATGCAAGTGAGTCAACCTAAGTTGTCATGGACATAATCATTTCGAGTGGCAAATGGATAACTTAAGATAATAATGTAGATGCATGGTCATAGCAGCACATCAAGGTTTAGATCTATCCAGAATAATAAGAAAAATAGGATAGTCTGCTTTTGCTGCTGTCACTTCTTTTTGCTGCATCTGTGATACGCATAAGAAGCCAGAGGCGGCTTTTAATCCATCAAAACTTCGACCCTGGCACTCCTTCACATACATGACATTCTCCTACTACCCTCCGGCCAGTGTATAGGCTCCTTTGCGTGAAGACGGTTTGCCTTTTAAAGGATGGACAAGATGACTCATCATTCTTGTTTTGGCCGTCCTCCAGGTCATGGCTTCAGGTTATCGAAGGTAAACCTGTTTACCTTGTTGAGTCTGTGGATGGAGCTGTTCCCCCAGGAGCAACCTGAAGAGGATGACCACAGTCCAGTAAAAAAATTCAGTTCATCTATGACACATTTAGCACACAGTGTGTTATGGTTCTCTGTGTTAATTAATAGTTTTGTTTCTGCTGTGCTCCAGATCCGTGGGATGGGTCTGGTGGTGGTGCGGGACAGTAAGGTGGTTGGGCTCCACTGTTCAGGGCCTGAGCTCCACGCAGGACAGGCAGCCATCATCCAACATGGCGCCTGCCTGGCTGACTGTCACTTGTACTTCTCTAGGAGACCCTGCGCTACCTGCCTCAAGATGATCATCAACGGTGAGGAGAGAGGGAGAAACTTTAGATAGATGCCAGAGAGATTAGTAGACAGATACAAAGAAAAATGCTATGTGACAATGAGGTTTTTCTAAGGATAATGACATAGCTTGGACAAGTGCCATATAGTGTTTATATCCTAGCCTTGTTTTCAACTCTACTTTCTTGAATGCCTAACTGGTTCTAGACATCTCCCAGACTTGCTCACATCTCCAATTTGCTTATCAATTTAAAACAGTAAGACAATTTTGAATAAGGTGAAATGAAAAAGTTCAGTCTGATTATCAGGCTAAGTTGGGCCTTTATACAGATTTATACAGATACAAACAGTTCAACGTGAAAACATAGAAACATCTCAATGATACAAGAAAAATACCAACAACAAAAAAAGTAACAGAAAAGCATTCAATGACTGATCTTGGTTTATTCTATTTAAAATCATCCCTCCTTTATAGGAAATTGGATAGAGAGAGAGAGTGAGAGAGAGATAGGGCGCAACATGCAGCAATGGGCCGCAGGCTGGATTGGAACCCAGCCCGCTACAGGAAGGACTCAGCCTTGTACATGGGGCGTGCTCTCTCTACCAATTAAGCTAACCGCGCCCTGCATTTTGAGTTCTGTGGTTAACGAGTCCCACATATTGATCCCTGAACAGAAACAGGTCTCTGTTCAAAGGAGGAGGTGTTATTGCCACTTAAGTATGTTTCAATTCAAAATATACTGAAATCTCTTATTTCCAAGCAAGCTTGAGTTTCAACAGCTATTTATAAATCCATCACTAAGTGTGTGTGTAAAGTTCTAACAAACAATGAAGAATATGAACAAGACGTCGCTGCAGCACCACATGCTGTAATATCATTTTCAATAATAACAGTTTGGGCAGCAAAAAGACATAATTCTTTGCAGCCTATTACTTTGTTTTAAATTAAATTTGTGTATTTCAGAATTAGTAGTGTAATGCTGTTTTAAAAAAATGATAACAAACTTAATTTATAACTTTTTATAACTTATATTGTGTTATGTTGTGAAACGTTATTTAATAGTAATTAACTATATCTTCACAGTTTCTATAACTTTCAAGGTGGCATATCTAGTTAATTAAGGTTATTGCTGACAGTCAATATCATGATTTGAGAGTAGAGACTCTTTTACAGTTTACATTCCAGATGTTTTGCATAGATTTTTACAAGTAGAACACCTGCTTTGTTACTGCTTCACAACACGTTGATTCATTCCAGCCCCTGTGTTTTTTATTTTGTTTTTTGACTACATTGCCCCCCCTCAGCCGCTACATCATGTTGAGGCACCAACCTGAGCTGTGCGAACCGTATCCTTGTACAGGGTGTGATGAAAGTCTCAATACAGACTTTTTATACAGCTCAGTTGGGGTTTTTATAGATTGGCACTTAGCTGAACTTTGGAACTGTCCTTCTGACCTCAAGCTCGGCTGTACCTCCGCTGGTGAAAGTTAACAGGAAGCAAATACAGATGATGCTTTTTGCCCTTTTTTAGCTGGAGTCAGTCAGATCTCCTTCTGGCCCGGAGACCCTGAGATCAGCATGCTGAGGTCCACCTCTACAAACCATGTAAACTCCCACAGTCCACCTGTGTGCATCATGGAGGAGGCTGCCCTGGACGCCGTGGCGACAGAGAAGCTGAAGTCCAACAGCTGTCCTCACATCTGCGTGCTGCTGCAGCCGCTGGCGCCCGGCCTGGCGCAGTTTGTTTACGAGACGTCCAGAGAGTGTGATTTCATGGAGAGAGTGACTGATGATGAACCAGGGCTGAACACACAGGAACTCTTTAACAGGTACCACACTGTAGCTACTCACTGTACCTACCTTTGTTGCTGCAGCAGTAATAAAAACAACTCTGTGATTACTTGGCTAGGTGCAGAGACTTCAATTGACTGTTATACTTTTTAAGTGTTCATGTGCATGAAACACTTTTTAAATGGTTATTGCTTTCTTGATAGTTAATAAATTCCAGGGTGGAGGTTAAGTACACACCACCTGTGGCTGTGGCTCAGGAGGTAGAGCGGGTTGCCCGTGAATCGGAAGGTTCAATCCCCGGCTCCTCCAGGCTGCATTGCGTGTGAATGTTAGTTTCTGTTTGAGCAGCTCAGTGTATGAATGTGATTACATGCTATGCAAATGCGCAGCATTTACATTCACTAAAGGCTGCTTGTAAATCTTATCTTTTGTGAGTGTACAGTAATAATTAGAAGACTTGGATATCAGCACTTTTATCATGTCAGAGCTTCTTTCATCTGGCAGACACTAAGACACTCTTTGGAGAAATGTTAGTGAGTAAAAAAATGATCAATGTCTGCATTTCAGTTCATTCTTAAAAAAGTGGCTTAGCATAGTAGTGTTTTATATAAATTGGAGAAATTCTTCCTGCCTTCTAGAGAGCGGACAAGACACCTGAAGGATTTCTCCAGACAGTTCCTGCTCGAGACGTCTCGGCAGCACCGGGAGATTCTGACCCAAATGGGCCTGGAGAACTTCTGTGTGGAGCCGTACTTCTCCAACCTGAGACAAAACATGATGGGGCTGGTGGAGGTTCTAGCTGCAGTGGCTGCTGGGGTGCCACAGCAACACTACGGCTTCCACAGGTCAGAAACACTCAGTTATTTATACATTTGGAAATGGGAATCTTCATTCGCTTGCAATCCACAGTTGTTATTTGTTGTTGATTGTGTCATTCCTGTGACCCCAGGGAACAGCATTCAACCCCTGACCCCAAGTCCTCACTGCCTCCTCGTCACGAGGGACTATCCCAAGAAGTGGCTCGCCATTGCATTATCCAATCCAGGCTTCTGGCTTATAGAACAGGTCTGGTTGTTTTTTCTGTTGCTTCACAGTACTTTAGGGGGATTTAGTATAGCAGTACATATCCTATTACAGGTCAGACTGAACATATAGAGATAAACACTTGCAAAATTAACTCTATAGATGTCCAACACTATAATCAAATAGATAGAGTAAGTAATGGGTGATAATATGTCAGAGAAAAGTTGTCTGACAGTTGTCAGTCCAATAATTTAACTGTTGCTGCACTCACTATACTTGCTTTGAAGCCTGATAAATATTTCCAGATTACAAGAAACATGGATAACAAAAGTCCCCCTTATATTTCTGCGTGCGAGTATTGTTGCAGTTACTCTTAGATTTTTAAAGGACTGAGGCAGCAGATGCTTAAAGGTCACTATCATTTTAAACAGCGTTCATGTCAGTTTGCCATTTGTCACCAGCTTCTCACATGCATGTTGATACTTTTATTACAGAGGACCCTAAAGTGGGTGTGGGTGCTGTCATCTGGGCCAAAGGACAGTCGGTGAGCTCACCTTTCTTCACTTTGCTTTGATTTGGCTCTTTTATCTCGGGCGCACAATTACATTATTTTTATGTTTACTGCGTCAGTCAGGATTTGACAGCATGGCGAAAACTGATAATAGCCTCATACAGATGGGGTTGTTTCCGCCCAAAATGGGATCAAATAAATCCATTTATGGGTGATTGTAGTAATGTATTGATGTTTTCAGCGTGGGAGGATACAGTGCGCTGTTTCAAGCTGATAGCTTTTGACAAATCCCTCTAGCCAGATGATGAGAACATACTCCTGACTTATTACATTTTGTGTGAGTGAGAACCTTTATGTAAGCAAAATTAAATACTATAATTATTTAGAGCCAAGAGCGTTAAAGAGTGAATTTAGAGGCTGCTGGAAGGCCAATTGGACAGAGCCAGGCTGGCTGTTTTCACCCATTTCAAGTATTTATGCTAAGCTAAGCGGCTCCTGGCTGTGCCTTCATATTTTAGCATACATGCACGAGAGTGGTGTCGATCTTCTCATCCATGTAATCAAAAAGCATAATTTCCAAAATGTCGAACTAATCCTTTGATTTGGAAATGGTAATGTTAATAATGGTTCCATTCCATTTAGGTGTGCCAGCATGCACAACGCTGAAATAAATGGTAATACTTTGCTGCATTCCTATTTTCACTGATACTGTTGATGGAACTTGTTGAACTGCTCACTTATCCCAGGCTAGCAGCGGTGGAACAGGGTGTCTGTACCTGGTGGGTTGCGGCTACAACGCTTACCCGGCAGGCTCACATTACGCCGAGTACCCCCAGATGGACAACAAACAAGAGGACCGCCAGAGACGCAAATACAGATACATTGTACACGCAGAGCAGAACGCCATCACCTTCAGGTCAGAGCATCGCCGTTTACACAGCAGAGGAAGACATCTGAAAAAAGCTTCATCTATGTGTAACCAGTCTTGACATGTTCCACCCGCTGACGTCTCCTCTGATTCTAAACCGTGTTTGACAGAAGTGTTCCTCCTGATGCTTTTAGGACTCGAGGCATCAAACCAGAGGAGCCCACCATGCTGTTTGTAACCAAATGTCCCTGTGATGAGTGTATCCCTCTGATCAGAGGAGCCGGCATTACACACATCTACACCACCGACCAGGACAGGGACAAGGACAAGGGAGACATTTCCTACCTGAGGTTCAGCAGCCTCAAGAACATCAGTAAATTCATAGTGGGTACATGGGTTCTTTTTTTGTTAATCTTTTTTTTTCTTGCTTTAATTCACTATATTATAATAACTTCCTGATGTTTTGGATTTTCTTTGTGTGTATTGGAAGAAAAATCATGCACCATCTCTGCATCTATGTTCTGCGTCTATCTTAGTGAAATTTTAACCCATCAAGAGCTAATACAACTTCACTCTGCACTCAAGCTTTAAAGAATATGTTAAAAAGGAAGATATGTGTTAATTTATTCTATTACATAATAGATTTATCTCTGACACAGCCGCTTTTTGATGTCTTGGGGAAGTAGATATCGCCCGTTTCCTTGGAGAATGACATTTTTCTGTCTTCACAGTGGCAGAGGAGCCCTTCAGTTTGCTTGGCGTCGTCTCCTCACCTTGGCAGTAAGTCCCACCTTGTCATCTGGCTCTGTTAATCAGCCATTAAGGGTGTATTTAGAAACACAAAGCAAGTGTAGAGTGAAGTTACAGAATAGAGGAATTAATAAATGGAAAAAAGACCAGCCTTGCCTCGTATTGTAACACTACTGTCTTTTGTTCCAGATGGTTACGTTGGGAAGCACAGCAGGCAGGCTGAGCACGAGAGCCACAGCAACAAGAAGATGTGCACCAACAGATCCCACGACTCACCTACTCTTCGCTGAACATCAGCCACGCATGGATGGATGGACAGATAAAAGGATATACCAAAAACAGAATCATGTTTTTAGCTCACGACCCACAGATTTGATATTTTATGGATGCAGCAAAAAAGAAATCAGAATATTAGTCATTTCCTCCCTGAAGATCAAATCTGGGTACCACATTTTACGTTACGTTTTACGTTCTCTATTTGCCCTTTTTATGTAGGACTGAGATTGGTTTTGTGAGCCATGTTTTTTTGCAAGACCGGTCAGTTTGTAGGTTATGTAATCAGGACATCGACATTAGCATCTTTCTTGTGTCCCTCTGGAGACTGTTAAATCTGCTGCTGCATGTTTATGTTTTATACCAAGCTGAGTGATAACAGGAGCCAACAGCAGCCAACTCTGGCAGTTTACAGTTGCACCTAAAAGGCTATATTTGGACTGCCAGGGGCTGCTTTAATTGGGAATTGTTATTGGCGGGTGACTGGAGGAAAGTCCCCCGTGTCCTTTAAGGTGTCAAGAAGTGCCAGCCTTCCTCTAAAATACTTAATCTGAAACTTTCCTAGCATTGTATCTTCCATCTATCTTCCAGTCCTGTTATTAAGAAGTCAGCGGTGTGGAGAGACAAGAACAAGCTGAAAACCATACAACACGCTGACTTCAAAGGGAAACCACTAAGAAGGGATGGATGGTTGCATCAACAATAGAAGAGGTGTAAAGAACACAGTGACTGAACGAAATGAAGCAGAGCAAGACGGGAAATAGAGATACCACAAAAAATAATATATTTAAAATAGTAATATAAACCCAGTATGTGGATTTTTTTTTATACAAAAGCTGAATAGTTTATGTAAATTGTGTAAAGTGTTTGATATCAAGAAATCATGTAAGTATGTGTGCACAGGTAGCCCCTGTTGCCCCTGGATGTTGACTTGAACAAGGTTTAAAAGAAGAAGCATCTCTCTGTACGTTTTTATTTGAAAGACTGTTTTACAATTATATTGTGTTTCATTTGATTTGAACAGACGCAAAATGAAGAAAGATCAAAGTTATTTATCCTCACAAAGAGGCAGCAACATTTCAGTTTATAAAGGAAGCATGAGTTTAAGTTTGATCACTAGTCAAGACACAAGCTATGAAAGGTCTCTTTATAGCAAGTAATCCTAATTATTTTCACAGGGATTAAGAGGTATGAGATACAATGCTACATCAAGCAGAACTGGTTTACATATTTCTGTTGGTACAATAACACGCTGTTCAAATGTTTTTGTAACTGAGGTCTAAATCATACAGAAGGACTAATCTAAGAGTTGCTGGAGCCTCTCAGCATCTTTTCAGGCTGATGAGATAAATACACACAAAATGAAAATAAAGTTATTCCGAAAATATAAGGGGTATCTTTACACTCGATTGAGCAGCTCAGCATCTGTAATTGCACTCCACCTGACTGTAAGCAAGTGACACACACACAGAAGATGCATTCCCATCCTTTTATTTCTTGTGAATGCGGTACAATAGCATCAATGTGGGGGTGGGGGTGGGGGCAAAAGGTGGCTGCTTTCAGAGGACACTGGGAAGATGAAGTGAAGTTCTGCTGGGACCAAAGTTGATCATTATTATTTTTTTTTTTTTTTGAACAAGCAAAATCAAAGACGCAGTTGAGTTTGGCAAGTCTCATGTAAAGCTGGTTGGTCTACTTTTGCATCCTCATGTTATAGTCTGATATAGTGTAATATGGCACAGCTTATAACATAAAAAAGCTGGTATTGTTTCCACCCAAAACTGCATTTCTTTTACACCACATGGAGGGGGGAAAAGCAGAATGTCAATTCACAGGTTTACATTAACCCTACTGTACTCCACTACTGCCTTTATTTCTGTTTAGATTTGCTGTATTTAACATGTGGCAGCTAAATATTAGTCCTGGATGTAACTTTAAACTGTTTAGAGGAAAAGGTTCTCATTAAAAAGACATTTTCATTAATTTACTCCATAAAACAAAAGGCTCAAAGTAACATCCAATATTGATTGGAAAATAAATTCAATTTTACTGACTTAAACTTAATTTTTAGAAAATGGATTCATGATCATTTTTCCATTTTAAAATAAAATATAAAACCAACACCACTTTAGAAGTAGCATTTTAACCACATTTATTTTGCTAATTTTTTGGTCCTTTAACTACATGTGGATTTTTCACAGTTACAATTCACGATCGAATCTTGTTAACAGGTCAAATATGGCCTCACTCTGCGATGGGTTTCCAGATGAGTTAGCCGGCACAAGTTTGCAATTCACATGTTGAATCAGCGCTACTTTGGTGACAAACTCAAAGTGAAACTGTGACCCTGCTCCGTACACAATGGCAACCAATCAGCTGCAAAAAGTTTAAAAACTGACAGTCTAACTCAAATATAGTGAGTTAAGAGGTTCACTGCTTAATCACAACAAATATGTTCAATCCAGAGCATATTTCCATTAACATAATAATTAAGCTCCCCCTAGAGTGATACTAAAAATACAAAAAAAGAAAAGGGAAAACACGCCAAACCAAAAAGGCACCTCTGAATCTTTACCTCTCTAATACTAACATAAGATCCAAATCAGAGCAAAAACACTAGTTACAGTACAGAAAGAAAAAGAGTGAAACAAAAACACCAACAGCCATCTTTACAGCTGCTCTCATCTCTCATTAAGAGCAAAGTGCCTCCTGTTAATGTTCAATGTTCTCACTCACAATGGCACTCATTTCAGGTGTACAAACCATAAACTGTACATGACGAGAAATGAAACTAGATAAAAAGCAAAAAATGACCATCAAGCAATGTGAAAACAGTGATCAGCTTAAGATGAACAAAAACAAACAAACATTTGAATCATCATATTTTTTTTAATCATACAGAAAGTGCCGTCAGCCACCAGCAGAGAGAACCAGTGATCAAAATGATTGGAGCTTACTGTTCCGACAGCAGCCCAATAACTCAATTAAAAAGGCCCTTCATTTCAAAGACAAATTTTAAAATAGTCTTAGAATTACTATTTTTTCTTGGCAATTTTTGGTCAACCGTCACAAAAATCCATTCTCTCCAAACACCCATTCTCAGCCTTACTCAAGCTTATTCGGTTAAACTGAATGGCACAGGGTTTTTTAAAATCTTGATTGACTGATGATAAAAGTTAACTTTTGCAGGTTAGTCTGGTTCAGATAAACCCCTCTCTTAAACTGCAGGATCACGGTGGTGAAAAACAAATCATGACCAGTCAGAGCCGATTTAAAACCTGAAACTCACAGTGCACTCACAACATAACATCTGCAGCGACCTGCCGAACATTTTTCGGAAAAGCGCCAAAGCTTTGTGATATTGGAAAGCTATCATAGACAGATCAGCCTCTATATATCGTGTAGTGTGTTCTCAACTGAACTGATTCAGCCTTTTCCCCCGTTGAATTGGCTAAAATCTGTCACGACGCTGTCAGAAATACGCAAATCAGTTGTTGAGGTGTGCAAGGAATAGTAAGGAAGACAAGACTTAAAGCTGCATTGGCATTTTGGGATTGTATTTGATTATGATGATGCTTTTTTTAGTTTTAGAAAAAGAAAAGTTGAGGGAATGTTGGCTTTGCCAGTACTATAAGAAAGAGGCGTTTGGCTATCAGAGGGCAACCGAGGATTATTGTTGCCATTAAGCAAAGACTGAGAATGTGTTTCCCACTTAAGATGTTCTCATTCTGAAGTATATATATTTTTTTGCCTGATCCCACCCAGACACATTGAAAACAAAAAAAAAGCAGGAATTCTTCATTATTTTTGGGATTTGCAGCTACTTCATTTAAACAGTTACAAATTAACTCAAGTGCAGCGACTAACAGAGCACCTGCAACTGGTGACTGTACAAAAATTGGCACGCCTGTTTTGTCTGAAGCTTTTTTAACCGCTAGTTCTCCCAATAGAGCAAATCAGCTGCCTCCAACACCATGAGCTGTGGCACTACACGATACAAATGAAGAAAAATAAAAACAGAATTCGTGAGAAAAATGTACAAAAGAAAGATCGGCGATTGAGAACTACTCTTGCACAAGTTTTAAATGAACCAACAAAGAGAAAAGAGAAAAAAGACAAATAACGTCTTGAAGATTTTTTTTTTTTTTTTTAAATAGACTAACCATTATCTTTAATGTGTTTTTTTTCTACTGTATGTCTTCCTATCAATAAAAACTTGGGTTAGTGGGCAGGGAGGGATGCTTCTCTAGGAGGCCGGTTTCTTCAGATCCCTGATCTGTTTGATTAGGTAGGTCTTCTCGTCGTTGAACTGCTCGTCATCTGTGCGCTCCTTCTGGAAGTTGCTCAAGAAGTCGATTAGTTTGGTCTGGTTCTTGAGCAGGATGTCGATGATGGGCTGCGTCTTGTTGGGGTTCGCTACAAAAACCTGAGGAAATAGGCAGCAGAAAACACAAATGTTCTACATAAAACAGACACTAAGAGAGAATCTACCTCCTGGACAAACTGTGTCTGAGTTTTGGTAAACTTTATAGTGCAATGAGCTAATTGAATGGATCCATATTTGCTGATGAGCATTGTGTTTTTACCTTGAAGACATGGAAGGCCTCAAACTGGATGTTGGGACTCTTGTCTCGTAGCAGATTCATCATCAGCTTGAGATTCTCAGGCTTGCTGATGTAACGCGTCATCACCGTGAAGTTATGTCTGTCCAATAACAGCTCGCCCAGAAGCTGAAGGAATATGTTGATAATAATCAAAAACAATGTGACAGAAATTCGGAGAACTTCAATGGATTAATGTTTCCTGAGTACAGAAAGTGTAAATCCAGGCCTGATAGTGACATGGACAAACAGACCACACACCAAATGATGCTAACGCTATCTGTCCAACTGGCGTACAGCAGTGGTGGGTTAGTGGGGAGCTGTTGGAAGCAGTGAGTTCATTGCCAGGGTAAATACCAATTCCATAATGGTACATTGGTATCATCAAGGAGTTGGTTATGTGGTGGTAGTTTTTTCTCTAATCAGTCATGTTTAATTCCCCCGCTATTTTTAATGTACACCATTCTATTGAATAAGCGCTTATTTAATTCCCATTTGAAGAAAATTTCTTGCAACATGTATAGGTTCACAGCAAAAATCAATCCACAGTGTTGGGTCATATTTTTATGTGAGAATTTTAGCCAAACAGACTAGTTCTAATGATTACAAATCTAAAACTCTGCATCCAACCTTTAGAGACTGCCTCTTGGTGACGTAGTTCTCAGAGTGCAGCAGCTTCTCGTAGTCTGCAAACACCTGCAATTACATAAGAGACACACCTTATTATACGTTATTAACAGACTGAGACATTAGAGACTTTAGGCTTGCAGTTTAACATGTCTAGTTGCATGAGTTTTAGATATTTGTCCATTTGCCCGCCAAGGACAATTAAAAAAAAACAAAAAACAAACAAGATCACACAAAATGACCAAAACTACTTGTGTTCAAACAAGTAAAAAAAAAATACACATATAACAAAGAGGAAGTGGATTCATTTGGAGATGTCATCCCAGTTTCTCCCAAGTAACTTGTTCTGACAATCACAACTCTCAAGTTTTCATACCAGTGGGAACTTGATCTCGCAGACCAACAGAATACGTCTTTGTATTGTGTTTTATGCCCCTTACACTTAAACAAATCAAAGTTCTTTGTCTCTGAACAGATTAATCTAAGATAACACTAAACATCTGGCATTGACCGAAGGACAGTAAGTTCCTTTGCCACAATAATATTTTGTGTTTAGTACATGAGATATTAAAATCAGTCAAAACCAAATAACTAGCTTGTGCTGTATTTTGGCTCAGCC